AAAAAAAAAAAAAAAAAAACTACCCAAGAAAGGTTCAGGAGATTCAGAAAATAGACATTTGAAATTAAAATTGTTTGGCAGAACTGAAGTTGAGGCTTATGTAGTAAGCAAGAAATATTTTGGAAGAGATTCAGGCAAAAAAATTTACAACCCAAAGACTCAGAGAGGCAGGGAGAAAGGGGGAAGAAAGTACAATAAAAAGTCAATGACAAATATGACACTGCCCCACCCTCTAAATGGAAATGGCCAATACATCACTCTCCTCAGGCTTAGACATTTTTAATGCTTTCTTTGGGGAGGGATTTAGGGGAGGAAGCCCAGGCCTTTGTACAAGCTACAATTCCCACCACTGAGCTATACCCCAGCCCAAGGCCCTTAGGTAGGAAATAGCAAAGTTTCATTTCCGTAGAGCAGAGCTACTACGTCACTGACAGGATTTTTAGCTGTAGTTTTGGAGTCTGAGTCCAGTTCTAGCTATTACCAAAATAGACCAGTCAGGGTCACTTCACTGTGCTTCTAGTTTCTTCTGAAAATGTGACAGCAATCAGATGATTTAGCCATATGTGTAGCAATAAAGCAGTTGAACTCACTAGGTTAGAAGGTCGGGGAATAAGAGAGTTTATCTATCCATCCTTCTAACAGTTCTGTCAGGCTGTTGTGGGTCTCAGGAATATCATGCTGAATGGAACCTACCCGTCATAGTTCAGAAGGCAGATGGTTTGGCATCTGTTAGTCACACCCTCTTGATGTCCTACCGTAAACTGTGAAAGAGGCTGCAGAGGGAAAGAACACAGAACTGTGAGACCAGGTTTACTGGGTAGGTGAAGAAAGACTGTCCGGAGGAGAGGAGACAGCTGTCAGCTAGAAGAGCGGTGGGGCGTAACCAGCCAAGAGTGTGGCGCTGTTGTGAGCGGGGAGAGAGTGGACAGGGAACAAGAGGCCAGCGTAGCCCGGGGAAGACAGTGAGAGACCAGCATGGCCGGGTCTGGCAGAGCCTTAAACGTGTGTTAAGTATTTCAGATTTCATTCTAAGAGCAGTAGGGAGGCAGCCAGGAAGATGGAAGTTACTGAATCTGCATTTCTGAAGACTGCACTGCTCTGTGGAAATGGGTCGGAGGCTTGTGTCACAAAGTGGGAACGACTCGCAGGGAGCCGGATCTGGAGGCGGCCGGTGTGGATCAGCATTGTGAGCGATGTGACAGCCCCAGGTGCAGTCAAGGCTTCGACCCAGTATGGAGAGAGTGTGTGTGGGCTTGAGACGGAGAGATTGGGAAGAGGTTGGCTGAGACTCCTCCGTCTCTAGCTAGCTGGGCGGCTGACATTTAAGGCGAGCTTCTGGAAGCTTCTGCACCTGTGGCGGGTGTCCTTCCTGATCACCTGTCTCATCCTAAGGGGCTCTGGGGACAAGCTGGGTCCTGGCAATAAAGTTATTTATGGGTGACCACTGGTTCCCTAGGGAAGCCCTCTCAACAGGCCCATGTCTTTTCTCCTTTCCTCTCTCTCACCCTTTTGCAGGTGCCACGTGTCCTACCCCCGCGTCTGTTGAACATGCTGACATTCAGGTCAAGAGTTACCATTTGCACTCCAGGGAACGCTATGTTTGTAACTCCGGTTTCAAGCGGAAAGCTGGTACATCCAGCTTGACCGAGTGTGTGTTTAACAAGGCCACAAACATGACCCACTGGACGACTCCCAATCTTAAGTGCATCAGTAAGTAGCATCATCCCCCAGACTTCTGCCAAGGCAGAACAGAGCAGAGCTGCAGTGTGGGAACTGGACGATCCCATCTTGTGACCGAGAAATCAGTGCTGAGGTCTGAAGTGAAACATGTCACCGGGCCACCAACAACACCCCAGGAGGTGGAAATATGCAGGCCCCGTGGTCACACAACTCCAGGTTCACATTCTCGCTCTGCCACTTCCCACATTCAAGCCTGCTCAACAAGTTCACAACCTCTGGAACTCTTGTCGGTCATCTAGAAGTTGAATCTGATGTCAACACTGTGTTGTAGAATTTTGTGGGCCCTGGTAAATATTAACTATTATTACCATCATTTTGAAATGATGATAGCAAGAGTTGACTGCAGACAAGGGCATGTGCTCATGAGCACACTTGGCTCCAAGGAGCTTTTTGGCCCTGTCAGGAGGAGGTAGACTGCAGGGCATAACCGCTGTTCCTGTGCAATTTCTGTGCTCAACCCAGGGGGCTAGGTTCCCTTGGCTTCGTCACTTGTGTGTAGAGAGGCTCAGGAGCAAAATGAGGATGGTTGAGAATCAGTTTGTTTTTTCAGCCATCCACAACCGGATAATCGTCCTGAAAGAAGACAGACACTGTGGATAGAAACTACGTACTGCAATTTCGGGGACTACTAATCCCTGTTCTGCTCCCCTCTTCCTTCCCAGAGAAAAAGAGTTAACCAGTCGTCTTCCACGTGTTCTGATTTACCAAGCATTTATTGCTACTCAGTGCTTATCCAGTTGCAACTGGATACATTCTTAGAGAACGTTTGTGAAGCTGCCTAGCTCCTCTCTGGGACGCGATGGGAAGCAACCATCCTATAACAATCTCCCTGTGCTGGGAACTTCTGGAGGAGCCAGATTTACTTACGGAATTTGTGGTGTTTGAGTACCCCCTTCCCACCTGCTTCCAGAACGAGAGTCACATAGACGAGATGTCAGAAGGAAGACAAGAAGGGATTCTTTCCTCTTGTTTCAGGAGTCATAGGGCTGGGAATGCAGCCTGTGATGGCCTTGAAAGCAGTTGAAGGGAAAAGCCCAGTGAGGTCAGGGACAAGCACTGACTTGGAACCAGAAGTGGAAAATCAGGGCTTTTCCACTGTTGAGAAAGCTGTTTCCTCAAAGCTCTACATCCTTTGGGTGAATGAATCCAGACTGGAGAAGAGCTGAACAGGGCTAGGAGTAAGGAGGAAAGAAGGAACCTATAATCAGAATTTTAGAGTCCATGGTCGGGAGGAATCTCTAGATTTCATCTGGTCCAAAGGTTCCACCCCTCAAACATTTTATGACTAACATCTGCCTTCACTTCCCCCCATCTCTTGTACTTTTTCCCCCCGCTAAACAAATGGAATCTAGTAAGGAATAACTTATTTTCCCATGAAAAATTTGGACTATTAAACTGAGTGGATAGCATGTTATTTCCAGCCCAAAATTTAAAAATGGGATGTTTAACCTGTGCAGTCTTTTTAAAAGTGCTATAAAAGTCATTTGCAGTCTGCTTGTGCTTTTGGATTGGGAAACACTAATTGTTTATTTCCTGTCTTTCTATCCTGTCCGAGGAAGCCAGATAACACCATTGTAAATTTACATATGATTTGTTTAACTTAATCGAGTTCTGAAGCTACCCCAGGCTCCACCTTCAGTTTCATAAATGCCATGTGGTTATCCTTTCTCTAGGAGATCCCTCCCTGACTCACCAAAAGCCAATGCCACCCTCCACAGTAGTGACTGCCAGGGTGACCCCAGAGCCAGAGAGCCCCTCCCTTTCTGGAAAAGGTAGGAATGTTGGAAACTTCAAGGACTGCTATCTCCAGGTGCCCCCACCCCTGCCAGTCCCACAGATTCATGGGCCACTGCTTGTGTTCTTCTACAAACTTGGGCAATAGAACACATTTTTAATCTTTTTTTTTTTTTTCTTTCTGGTACTGGGGATTGAACTCGGGTCCTTGTGCTTGCAAGGCAGGTGGCAGAGCCACTGAGCTAAATGCCCAGCCCTAGAGCACATTTTTAAATTGAAATCAAGGATAAGAACTCACAGGGGCTGAATGTTTTTTAAAGCCAGAGTTGTTTTGATTTCATATGTGCATAATTAGTAGTGGTTCAGAATCCACTATTAATATGTCGGACCATATTTAATTGTAGAAACTTATCCTTGTCAAGAACCGAGGAGCGTCTGAGATTTGACTTAACTTGCTCATTAGCCTGCCATAGTGCCGTAGGTTTGGACACAGGCGGAGGGGAGACAAAGGTCTTCGTACACAGCACCCAGCAGTGGGAGCGTCAGCATATTCACATCAGTCCCTTGCCTCCCAGGCCCACCGCGGTAACATAAACAGTCCTTCATAGATGCCTGCACGTGCGGCAGACTGCATCCTCAGGGAGGAAGCCTGGACTCGGGGAACCTGAATGTTTTACAGTTAGCAGAAAACATGTCTGCTGTGCTGCAGGAGGAGGTGGCGTCTGTCTTCTAAGGTGCTTACTATGTGTTCATCCTTGGGAAGACAGTCCAGAGGGCTGTTCGGCCCTCCGTTTGCAAGATGTGTAGCAATGTGAGGGACCCATAGAGAGTTGTCTCTTCCAGGTCCCAATATCCGCAAAATAGCAACGATGTTTTACCATAGAAGCATCGCATAAAACCACGGATGTGTATGTCAGCTGAGTTTTAGGTAATATCCTACTCCAATTTCCTCAGCACTTTTTTTTTTTTTTTTTTTGTACTGGGATTGAATTTGGGTCCTTGCATTTGCGAGGCAGGTGGTGGCACCACTGAGCTAAAGCCCTGGCTTTCCTCAGAACTTTTTTGATGTTAAAAAGTTTGAAATCTTGGGTGCTAAATATCTTGAGATTATATGACCTGCATCCTATGACACCCTTATTTTGCATTTAACTCTTGGCTCTTTTGCTTTTTTTTTCACTGCCACATCATCTGGTTTGTGGCTTTCTCCTGACATTTGTCCTCGCCCTTCCCCGCAGGTGTGGCCATCGTCTGCACAGTTGGCCCTGCTCGGTAACACTCGCAGAGCACTGGCCCTCGGCCACTGGTGACATCACTGAGAAACTCCAGTTGGTCTGGGGGGTGACCTGGGAATCAGGGTGGATCTTCCCAGGTGGTTCTTAGGCGACCTGAACTGAGGGAGGATGGAGAGGCTGAAAAGAGGCTTCTGAGTTTGACACCGGCTTCGGGCAAATACTGAGACCCTATCTCAAAAAAAGAAATGAATAAAATGAGAACAGTCTTTCTTCTGGCAAGTGACTTGCTTGCAAATAGAATGGGCTGAGGTCCTGGCTGAAGTCTGGAGTGATTCCAAAACCCTTTTGATCTGAGTCACATCAGGGTCACTCACAAGATGAGAATGTCCAGTAGCTTCTCCAAGCTCTAGCCCCTGTGACTCAAACACTTAGTGGTTTGTCCATTGCTGAGACAAAATTGTGCTGTCAGAACCTCAGATGTGACACAGGGTGGCCCGGCCAATGGCACTTGGATATGAATGCTTAAGGGATTCTAACTGCTGGCAGGTGAAGGGTACAAGGGCTTCTCAAAACACGTGGCTGAGAGAGCATGGGGACTCAGGACGCACGGGCCATGTAAAGCCTCTCCCAGGGCTTTGTTCCAGGGCCATATTTCCCAAGTTCCATGTTTGTTGCAGCGGAAGGTCCATTTTTCCATGGAAAGGGAATTGTGCAAAGATAGCCAGACCTTACGGCTTGGGGTGGCCATCTGCCCGTCAGAGGCAAGGAGGAACATAAATGCCCAGCAGCCTCCTCTCATAAGATTAGAGCTAAATGTGGATGTTTCCCTCAGATGCACTGCAGGGAGTGCAGGCTGCCTGAATCATAGGCTTCGTCTTTTTTCAACAGTGTTGTGCCATCCAAAGCAGTTAGCATCTCGCTGCCTTTGGTAAACACAGCTCCATTTGTGTTTTGGAGCCAGGTCTTCTGCATTTCACTTGCCTTCTGCAAGAAATAGCAGAATCCACTCAAATTTGTGAGATCTTTTCATCACGTGTACCGTGACAAATAGCTGTATTCTGTAAGAGTTTTCACATGTTCGAGGCCCAGGCGGATGAATGTGTCACCCACTCAAGGACAGTTTGTGGGAGAGGGCCGGTCAGGGTGGACTCACTGGAGAGAGGCCCTGTGCTTTTACCCTCTGTTGGAACTGAGAAGACACTAGTCTAAATATTTATGTTCTCCCTGTGTTGGCATTTTCTACAGAGCCAGCAGCTTTATCTCCCAAGTCAGATACCACACTGGCCACAGAGACAGCCACTGTACCAGGCCCCTGGATGATGTCATCTAAACCACCTTCTGTAGGCACCACGGGCATAGGCAGCCACGAGCCTTCCCAAACCCCATCTCAGACAACATCAGTGACCTTGGAGCACACGCCCTCTACTTCCCACGAGACACCAGGTTAGCCCAAGCTTTGCACGCAGATAGGCCAGTTCCCCACTTGCTGCTTCTGAGACTTGGGTTCCGATCTGGTACAAAACGTCTGAAGAGCTTAATACTGTTCAGCCCGAACTCAGGATTGACCAAGATGCTCTGCTCACTCTCATCTGCCGCAGCCCCTTAGCCTGGTGTGCTCTGTGTCCCACTGTGCCGTAGCAGGGGCATCTCGAAATGAAACCCCTCCCAGATGGGACATGGCTCACCTTTCTAACCTGCTTGGCAGAACCTGTGCCAGGGAAGAGCCTCGAATCCCAGCTGCACTCCCTCTGTGTTTGTGCGTGGGGAGTCATGGGAGAAGCCCTCGCAGTCTCTCTGACCCTTCTCTAAGGCGTGTCCAGTTGTTAGGTGCAGCCTAGTGCCTCAGTGAGTCACGCAGCTCCTTCTCTGCTAAGACCAGCTTGGTTATGTTAGCTGTACGTTGCCTTAGGTTCTGAGATGAGATCCAAGTTGTCCATTGGTTCTCTGACTTCTGAGAAGCTAGTGCCTTTAGGAGCCCAGCCCTGACTGAGCTGTCCTTTCTCCTCTACAGGTGCCCTTCCAGACAGCTCCAGATATGCTACTGGTAAGTACTTCCACTTGCCTGGTGTGTCTATTAGGATCTGGGTGAGCACAGACCCGTGTGCTGAGCCCCCCCAGCACATCACTGACGGCCTCCCTCTCAGAAGTCGCTGCCTCATAATAAGGGATGTATTATACTGATGGAATCCATTTGACATGACTGTCTTAGTACCGGTAGCTTCTGCCAAGCTACTAGTGTTGAAACTAGAGAGTTGGTGCCCACACAAAGGGTCTCCTGGTTCAGCTGCTCACAGGGCTTCTCCACCAGGCTCGACTTCTGCCTAGGGCATTTTACCAAACCACTGTGCCTGCTGCCGCCACCGAGACGGCGCCATCCTTCTGCTGAAAGCTGCACGGACCTCTCCCAGGCTGGGCAGCATACACTTTGCAGGATGACTACCCAGATCTCTCAGTACAAAAGGCTTCTTCAAAAACAACAACAATGAAAAAAACAAGACACACATTAAGAGTCAAAGAGAGAAAATATGGGCAGAGGAAACAGAAAGTTGTGAGAATGAAAGAATAGGCTGCAATGAGAAGGGGTGCGCTCAAAGAAGAGAACAAGAGAAAGGATGGAAATCAAGAAGCAAAGAGAAGAGGAGGTGTAGCTCAGTGGTAAAGCACCTGCTTAGCATGTGGGAGGCCCTGGGGAAGAAAAAGCCGGGGTGAGATAGAAATACATTTCTGTGTGACATTCCAGAGAGGCAATTAAAAGGAAGTACAGAGGGCTGTTTTATTTTCGCCATTTTGCACTTGGTTTGCACTTAATGACCTACCTTGAAGACCCTTCCACACCAGTGCACCAAACCACCTTGTTCTTTTGACAGCTGGAGTATATTTCATTGTGTGGATCTGCCTCTGTTTTGTCAGTGTCCTCTTTGGATATGTGATTGCTTATGTTCTTTGGTTATATTACAAACTGATGAATTGAAAACCTAGAAGTACAAATGCATCTGTAGGACAAGAGTTCTACAGGAAAAATTTTCTATATAGATCATGAAGCAACTATTTGATTATAACCTGTAATCTAGGGCCAGGGATTTAGCTCAGTGATTCTGCCACCTGCCTCTCAAGCACAAGGACCCAAGTTCGATCCTCAGTACCAAAAACAAAACAAAACAAACAAACAAAAAAACAAACAAATAACCTGCAATCTATACTAACTAAATTATAATCTTTTTCTGGTTCATGACTTTCACTGGATTGAAATATCAAAAATTTGCACTCAATTTCTAAAATGAAATATAGTAAACATTACCTGAACACATACACGTTACCTGTGCATAAGCAATTGTGGAAATACAGATTTAAAAAAAAATACTTTAAATCTTTCATGTGCAAAGTTTCCTTTCTTTGAACTGCTTAAATATAAAACTAGCCAGGATGGGCCAGGGATTTAGTTCACTGGCACTGTGCCCGCCTCAAAAGCTCAAGGTTCTGAGTTCGATGCCTGATACAAAAAAAAAAAAAAAAGCCAGGTGTGGTGGTTCATGACTGTAAGCCCAGCACTCTGGGAAACTGAGGCAGGAGGATTGCAAATTTAAGCCAAGTCTGGGCAATTTAGCAAGGTCCTGTCTCAAAAGAAAGAAAGAAAATGGCTAAAGATGTAGCTCAGTAGAAATCCCTGGGTGCAATCCATAGTACTGGGGGGAAAAAAAAGGCCAGGCTAGTGTGCCAACTGCAGTAGCGCCTACACTGCCCTACTCGTTTGGTGCATAGGAATAAGGAGTTTATTTTACAAAATACTATTACACTTCTGCCCTTCCTTCTCTGAAATACATTGGCTGTGGTCAGTATGTTCAGCCTTTGACAGGAGCTTTTTCTGTCGTTCTATCACTCACTGGCTCATGTAATGTCAATTTCTTTTTCTCTGGTGGTCCTCAAATGCTATGAAATGCACATTTCTCATTTGAAAAAATCACGTGCCATTTTAAATTTACTTCAATCTGTGGATTTTTAAGGGTTAAACTGAAACAACTGAGTTGTGGTCTGAATCCAACAATTTTTTTCAGAGCCGGGGGTAGACCCCAGGCCCTCGTGCATGCAAGGCAGCTGTGCCTCTAAATTCCGCACCCAGCCTGGACCTCAACACCTCCTGTATGCCTAGTGCAGCGCGGGGCCTGGGAGGATTGAACTGATGGCACTCTCCCTTCCGAACGCCTCCTCTGAGGCAGGTCAGTGACCACAGGACTGGCCGAGTTTGCCTGGATGACCCAGGAACGACTCCCCTCCCCTGCAGGTTCGCAGAGGACGCTGCTTCTTCCGCCCCAGACACTGACACTGCTGGCCTCAGCTGCCTTCCCCACCTACGTCCAGTCTGCACCCGGAGCTTCTGCCTTTGAGCACAATAATCAACTTTTTCTGCTCTACTCCCTTCCGGGCTTCCTCATCTCACCAAAAATCTTCCTTCAAATCCACACCCTCTACCAGAAGGTTAGAGAATTTGCCAGGTGATCTATTAATTCATTGTCATGGTGATTCTGGTGTCAATTTCTTTACCAAATGAAAGAAAGTTTCAGATCTGAATTCCGCTGCTTTGCTGTAGCCGTGGTACAGCAGCCCGCCTGCCTCCTGAGTTTTAGCTGGTAATTTTTCTTGTTTAAATAGAAACGGGAAGAAGCACTGTGAAAGTACAAGTACAGTTTCTAGAAGCTTATCTTTTCCCATAAATCACTCCACAAACAGTAAGTGGACACCAAGCCATGAGCTAGTGTGGGCCGTCGTTTACAGTAAGATACCTCTCTGCTGAAAATTTGTTTCCTTTTCTTTTAAGTCATGATGATGATTTATGTCAAGTCTGAGAACTCAAAAATCTTTCACTAATTTCTCATGCTTTGTAATTTGTTTTGTAGCAACTTTTCTGTGCTTATTTACTTACAACTTAGGAGTTATTTCCATAATTTGTTTCTTATGATAGCGTCATTACAAAAACAGGAAAAAACCAAATGTTTTTGAAACAACAATTAAGACTATCTCCGACCCCACCGTTATTTAACCCTTTAGCACACTGCTTACCCCTGGAGGCGCATCTGTAATTCCAGCTAGTCAGGGAGCTGAGACAGAAGAATGAAAAGTTTGACACAAACCTGGGGCAATTTAGGAGATTATTTTGGATTCACCTTTATCTCAACTTGCTTTCTTCACTCAGAGTACGTTAGACACCTTTCCACCTTAATGTATGGATAGCAATTCCAGTTTTTGGTGGATTCCATTGTATGAGTATACAATGAGTATGAGTAATGTTCCATTGTATAAGTATACCCCATTATTTAATTACTTTTCTACTGATGAAATTTAGATCAACATCTTGAAATTTTTTTTTTTCATTTTAACATCTTGAAAATTATCTGAAATACTTGACTGAGTAACTTTCTGATAGAATTAGAACGTCTAGGGCCCAGACTTCTCTAAAGCTTTTGCTGTATGTTGCAAACCGCCCTTGAGAACAACCGGACCAATGTACGTCCCTAGCCGCTGAGGCCAAGAGCCTCCCTCGTCCCTGAATTCGCTGTTTTACACTAACGATGCACTTAAAGGTCAGGCCTCGGGAGGTCTGTCTGATGTGTGAAGCACCGGCATGGCCCCAGAGCCTTGGCAGCCCATGACCTTATGTGACTGCGCAACTTCTCCAGGCATCCACCCTTGTCACCTGCAAGTAGAGAAGCTGGTGGCTTTTCCAGGGAGATTCCCCAACAGTAAGGCAAAATCCCAAGCGTGCGAGTGTGTTGAACATTTCTGTCCCCGCCTCACTTGAGCTAAGTCTCCTTGCTTGCATGCGCAGACCTCCCCTCCCCGCTCTGATTGAGGACTCCCAGGTGAAGTCAGTCCCACAGGTGCTCCCAGACGCCACACCATTCCCTTGAACTCAAACACGTTTCCCCTTTCCGTAGTCTTTACCTTACCCTCTTCTTTTTTAAAAAATTTCTTTCTAATGTATTACAAGTGGACAATAGGGCCGAGGATTTAGCTCAGTGGTTCTGCCACCTGCCTTACAAGTAGATAATAAGAAAATGTAAAAGCCGTTCCAAGAAGAAATGATTTTTCTAACAGAAATTATTAGCGAATAACCATGGTAAATACACTGTGTATCATGATCTTAAACGAATATATTTTCATTTGCTGATCTCTGTCTCAGCTCATTCCCTAGTAATACTATACATTTTTGCATAAAACGAAAGTTCTGACAAAGTAGCTCACATTCTGTATAACTTTGAACAATTTCTTTTACTTCAAGATATCCATTGGTCTTGTTGGTTTCTTACCCTCTTAACTGTGATGCCTCTTACAACACCTCCTTTCCCCTTAGCGCTCTTCCCCTACCATAAAGTTGCATATTAAAACAGAAATGGAATACGGACTTGGAAGGAAAATGGCCCTGGATGTCCCGGCCCCTACAGTAGTGAGGCTGAAGAGAGGGACTCTAGGGGGAGCACTTCCCTGTCCGTTTCCTCTACGTGGGACCCAGAGGCAGGAGCTCCTGCTGAAGTGCTGGTCCCGCGCCATCCTGCTCCTGCTCATCACCACCTTGCTGGCGTCTCTGTCTTTCCTGACCTGCTCCCATCCCTGCTCCTTACCCCCGGGCTGTTAGCCCAAGAAGGCCCAGGACCAGGGTGTGGAGGAAATGACAGCGAAGTTCAAACCTTTGTTGGCAGCAGAGGGAGGTGGTCTTGCCCAGACCAGAATAGATCAAATCACGGGGATCTGAAGAACCGTAATGTCAGCAAGCTGGCGGGAGAGCGTTTAAATCTGTGAGCAAGGGCGGAGAAGGCCAAGAATGAACTGATTCTCAGGCAGGAAGGCTCTCCCGGAATTCCCACATGGTTCCAGCTTAGTTCTGTTCTTTTACAGTAATCATCTCGACATCTGTTCCTGGGATACTTGTGATGTGTTTGGTGTCGGTGCTGCTGGTATACTACATCAAGTCAAGGTGGGTGACGCCGGAGGCCCACGGGGCCAGAGTCTTCCCGCCCGCAGTGAAGAGCTACAGGATGATCAGAGACCCCTCTCTAAGGAAGCCCTCTCACACTCAGCCCCTTCCGTATCAGCCCAAAGACGCATCGAGGCCGAGCAGGACAGAGCCAGCCTTAGCCCTTCACTTCCCTTGTGGCTCTCGGGCCACTAGTGTGAAAGGGGGTCAGGCTGGGCCTGGCTGACAACACAGGGGCAAAGCTGCCGAGAGCCAGTTCACAGAGAGGATGAATTGGGTGTCTACGTGGCTGTGGTAAAGTGTGTGCTGAGTGAGTACTGGTTCAGTCCTCAGCACCCCCCCAAAAAAGCAATGTACCCAATGACCAATCCGATGAACATTCAGCTTGTATTATTCTTTTGATACATTCGTGAATATTCTATGCATCCGTTCACTATGGGCACACTTATTCACAGCCAGCTTACTTCTGTATTTCTAATACTTAAATTTCTGCATTTTGGTCTTTGTGATGTTTCTGCCATTTGTTGAAATATCAGGGGTTTTGCTAGTTTTTATCTTTGGAGACAAGGTCTGGCTAAGTAGCCCAGGCTGGCCTCAAACTTGTGGTGATCCTCCTGCCTCAGCCTCCCAAATGCTGAGATTACAGATGTGTGCCACCACACCTGACAGAAATACCACTTTTATTTTTTGTTTTTTCTAACCTTTAGGCATTTTCATCTTTTTTTGGGGAGACAAGATCTCATTGTGTAGCTCAGGCTGGACTTGAATTTACGGCATTCCTCCTACCTCATTCTGCCAAATGCTGGGATTACAGGCGTGAAGTGCCACACCTGGCATTTTTATCATTCTTTAACCAAACTTTCAATCAATATGCAACACCTCCCTCTACTCGTTATTCAGAGCTGATTACACACACACACACACACACACACAATTTTTTTTTAAACACTTAACTAAGTGCTAAGAACTGTTTTAAATCATTTGCATCGACATGATCAAGTCTGGTCTGATCAGGCTTCTAGTTACTCTTTTTTCTTCTTCTTTTTTTTTTTTTTTTTTTTTTTTTTTT